AGGAATGCCCGGAGCTCTCCCATGGGGGGCCTTCCACCAACCAGGCTGTCTTCCTGGCACCTTTTTCAAAATTCATCCATGGGGGGGAGGGGGGAAGAAGGCCCTGGAAGTATGTCCCACACTGGAGTGCAAGGCTGCAGGCCACTCACAGCAAGCCCGCAGGAAGAGTTCATTATGACCTCAGAGTGACGGGTTCCAGATCTGCTCACTGAGGAGGTGAGAGCCTTCTGCTGCCCAGGTTCTAGCGCTCCCGTGTACAGTATTGAAGGGTCATAAAAGAGACCCGAATTTCATGGTATTTTGTAAAAATCTCGGCATACTCCCCTGAAGTCCCCCCCCCGCCCTTCTCCCCCTGTCGCCAGGCCGGGGTCAGGGCCTCTCGGCCTTGCTGTGCTCCATGGCGTCCTCGCTGTCCTCTGCTTCCGAGTCGGAGGCTGTGTCCGAGTTGGAGGGGGGGTCGAGGCTCGCCCGGATGGGGGTGACGATGACGGCACGCCGCTGCTCCTCCTCCTGCGTCCCCTCAATGTGCTGGATGGGGGGGGGGGGAGGAAAGGAGGGCGGAATGAGGCCCTTGCGTCGCACAGCCTCCTGGGAGGCACCGACCAAGACCTTCCCTGTGCCCCAACGCCAGAGCTTTGCCACGGGTCTCCCCCCCCCCAATGCTGCCAGCGATCCAAGCCCCTCGCTCAGAAGCCCACCAGGAGCTCACCCCAGACACAACACAAGGAGAAGAACTCTGCCGGGGGGATGTTCCCGCTCAACTCCATGGTGTTGCGAGCAGAAATCCTACCTCATGCGTGAAAAAAGCTAGTCGCATTAATGTTGTGAGCAAGTCTACATTTGCCCATTGCATAAATTATTTTTTAGAAGAGTATTTCCATAACCTTGTAAAAAGAGTGAATTCTTTTAAACTATATTTGAAGAAGAAGAGGAGGAGGAGGAGGAAGAAGAAGAAGAGATTGGATTTATACCCCTCCCTTGACTACAGAGCGGCTTACAAACTCCTTTCCCTTCCCCTCCCCACAACAGATACCCTGGGAGGCAGGCGGGGCTGAGAGAGCTCTTGACAGAAACTGCTCCTTTTCAAGGACAGCTCTAACAGAACTACGGCTTGCTCAAGGTCATCCAGCCAGGTTCAAGTGGAGGAGGAGTGGGGAATCAAACCCGGTTCTCCCAGATTAGAGTCTGAGCACTTAACCACGACACCAAACTGGCTCTCCATATAACTATATTTAAGAGTAATTTAAATGTTATAAGAGAAAACAGAATCAAGTCAAATTTCATTACACAAATTTTTGTCCTCTACAGGGGTAAACTTGGCCTCTGGAGAATAGGTCTACCTGCCCCTTTCCACTATATTGGTAGACCTGTCAGCAGCAGGAGGAGAAGAGATTGGATTTATACCCTGCCCTTTACTACCTGAAGGCGTCTCCGAGCAGTTTACAATCTCCTTTCCCTTCCCCTCCCCACAACAATCTGTGAGGTAGGTGGGGCTGAGAGAGCTCTCTCAAGAACTGCCCTTGAGAGAACAGCTCTGAAAAAACTTGTAACTGACCCAAGGTCACATCAGCAGCTGCATGTGGAGGAGCGAGGAATCAAACCAGATTAGTTCTCCCAGATTAGAGTCCACACTCCTAACCATTACAACAAACTGGCTCTCAAGCTGAAGAGGTCTACCTGCCCCAGTCTGCTATATTGTTAGACCTGGCCTCGGACTGTCGCCTTGCGCTGAGCCTTTGAAAACATACCAGGACTTGGGGGGGGGGGGACAACTCTTGCAGTCTACTTTTTTTTAAAAGAAAAATATGACAACCAGCATTACAGATCAAGTATAACAGAAATAGAACAATCACTGTCAGAACGCTGCCTAGCCTAACAGGAAATTACTCAAATGTTATCAACCTGCCTAAAGTACTTATTCAGATATTTATTTTTTCCCTGTGGCGTTCCCCCCGGCTCCGTTATACCTGATGGGGACTATCATAGTCAATGGGCCCCATAGGCTATAATGGAGAATCAATCCCGGGAGATCTGGGGCTCTGGGGAGCTGTTTTTTGACATAGAAGCACCAAAGTTGCAGCATAGCTGCTGGTGCCTCTCTTCAACCCCCCCTCCCAAATCATAATTCCTCTGAAATGTTGTGTGCCAGCGCCCCCCCAGCGCAGCTTACAGGGAACTGTGATGGGGGGGGGGGGGCATACAGGACTAAGGCATTCAAAGGCTTTTGCTGGATGAGACAGTAAGTTCTAAGGCCTTACTAAACTCTAAGCAAAGAATCGGGAATACTATTCCTTCCAAAGAGCCTACGGCCGTATCCAAACCAAGTCTGCCTTTGCTGCTAATGGCAGGGGGGTTCCCCCCCCCCCCCCAGCTTCCACACGGCCTCAGGGTGTTCTGGTGCACCTTCTGGCTTCTCTGCGGTCTACCTTTACTACAGACCTTTTGGGAAGATCGTAGCCAAGCCAGGGGGCAGCCACCTGGACAGGGAGGGGTCTTTTCTCAGCCTTACCCACATCGCTACCCCAGTCCCCCCAGGAAAAGCCCCCCAAACACCACAAGAGGACTTTTTAAATAGCAATTTGTCAATTACTCGTTAACTCTTCCCCCACCCTCCCCCCCCCCCCCCCGCCGTGTGTGAGCAAAGGCCAATCTGGTGAGGAGCAAAAAGGTTTCTAACATTACGGGAAAAGTTGCCCAACTACATCAACCACTTCCACGCACACACACACACCGACTCTCCTCATAAACCAAGCTGGAGAGTTGAAGACCCCACCCCCTTATAGAGGCCCTCCCCCCCCCAAAAAAACCCTTCAGGCTTCTTCTATCCACGGGGCAGCAGGTCTCTCTGCTGGAAAGGCACTGTTTGTGAGCATTTTGAAGGAGGAGGAGGAGGAGATTGGATTTATACCCCCGGCCCTTCACTCAGAGTCTCAGAGTGGCTTACAGTCTCTTTTCCCTTCCCCTCACCACAACAGGCACCCTGCGAGGCAGGTGGGGCTGAGAGAGCTCTTGACAGAAATGGCTCTTTTTTCAAGAACAGCTCTTATCAGAACTATGGCTTGCCCAAGATCATCCAGCAGCTGCGAGTGGAGGAGGAGTGGGGAATCAAACCCGGCTCTCCCAGGTTAGAGTCCACGCACTTAACCACGACGCCAAACTGGAGCTGTGGCCTGGGAATTGGGCCTCCAGGCAAATGCCATCAAGGAACTTGGGTCTTCCTTTGCAGGTAGCCTTCGGCCACAGGGTAGGGTTTCCGAGGCAAAAGACAGAGGCGGTTTGCCTTTGTCTGCCTCCGAGTTCTAACCAGGGCTGACCCAGCGTAGCTTCTGAGATCTGCTGAGATGGGGGGCAGGGTTTGGGGCCTTTCAACAAGTCCCACTTTTCACTGGATAAGCACGTTCTGCACAATTTGAAACACGTCCCCCCCAATGCAAAAAAGCACGCTCAAATGCAA